TAATTAAAAAACTGGATGTATATCAACAATTCATTCACTTTGGATGGGAGCATATATGATTAAGTTGTAGGAAATGACTTAATAAGCTAGTTGTTTCATCCTGCCTCTTCTCAAACAGTTTTGTTTTTATAATACATACAGATGTTATGTTCAAGATAAATAAWTAAAAAACTGGATGTATATCAACAATTCATTAACTTTTAAAGGCAACYCAATTCAAAATGGCTGCCACAGTCGACTGAACATAAAAAACTCAACAATGGCCGTAGGTCAGTCAGTTTTACAGATATCCATCCATCTATCCATCTATTTTCTGTACATGCTTCTTCCTTTTCAGGGTCGCGTGGGTCACTGGTGCCCATATCCAGCAGTCACAGTGCGAGGGGTAGGGTACACCCTGGACAGGTCGCAAGTCCATCACAGAGTTTTACAGATATTGATCTAAAAATTTTTATTTTAAAAGCTGAGACTGACCTCAACTAGGGCTGGGCGGTATATGCAATAGACGATATAAGTGGAATCATTACATCATCGCATCTGTGTCAACAGGGCTGCGAGTGCAGAGACAACTGAGCAGGAGGAGTTTGAAACATAATGAATAAATTATAGCATCTTAAAATGCGTAAAGAGAGAGTWAATCCTTAAAATTTCWCCCTCCCGCTGTAGAAAAGTTACTTTGGGATCATTTCCCCCATCCCTCCCGCTGCACGTCGCGCAGAGCGAAACTTTAACAATCGTAGTTTTTCACACCCAAGTTTTCGGGAAAAAACKTGTTTTTTATGTATTGTTWCCCACAGAGATGATAAAAAAGATGTGGACGTTCGTTCAGTCATAAATCCAACTTGCTAACGTAAAGTCGGCTTCTGCTCTGATGATGAAGATGAGCACACAGCAGAGCAGCAGCTGATAAGTTCAGCAGGCAGAAGCTCATTGTATAGCAGGCAGATATTAAAGCAAAAACGCTGGGTTTGATTAAGATTACAGTTTTCTGCAAAATAAAAAGCTCTAAAAATTACATTATCTTTACTTTTTATGATAGTTTTCTACCGCGATATATATACCGTAACCGTGAAGGGATTCAATTTATACCATGATATGAATTTGAGGTCATACCACCCAGCCCTAACTTCAACATATATTTTGGGTGCAAACCAAATTATTTTTCTTAAGGTTCGACAAAAACAGCTCCATCTCCATCATTTCTCAACACAAGACGATCATGATCTGAAACTCTAGAATAAAAGAGCAACATGAATTCCTTCAAGGAACGCTATTCTTTTAATTGGTTACAGAGTTTGGGCATAGGAGGAAAATTCCTCCTCAGTGCTATCTCAGATGCCTCTACATAATCACCACCAGCGTTCAAGAGATAAAAAATACATTTCTCCCCCCTCCCCTAAAACAGTTCCAACCTCAAGTAACTATTCACACTCAAACATACTTTATCCAATCCTGGCAGAGGATTCATATCAAAAGCCAATCCTGGCTTGACACCAGTATGACCTCAGTCTGCTGAGCATTAGATCAACGACCTCCTACGGTTTGCGTGTATGCATGTGTGTGTGTGAGAGAGAAACTATCTTACTCTCGCTTTCACCCTGTCTCTTTGACCCAAACCAGGGATTTCACTTTGGCTCTAAACCAACTGAATGCCGTGTGTGTGTGAAGCTGTGTGTATGTTCTGTTTGTTTTATTTCATGGACTTCCTGATGGTATTTTACTGAGTACCTTATCCATCAACTGAGAGTGAAAGGAAGAGAAGCAGGACAGAAAGAGAGAGGTGGGAAAGTGTTTCTGAGTGTACTTACAGGTCCAAGGGGAAGTGTATTATCCCTCATAAAGCGACACAGAATGAACACAAGTGTCTGTATTTTGCTCTACGTCTCATGACAGGATATCAAAATTCATTTGCGGGTTTTGAAAATATTCAGGGGGAACCAACACACTGAGTGAAACACTCGAGCTCTCAAAAGAGAGGAACACAAATGTTACCTTTACTGGAGATGAAGTGCTTGCTGGGTGTGGTGAAACCTCGGCTGCCGTGACTGTTGATGGCGGCAACCCTGAACTGATACCAACGCTGAGGTCTCAGATCTGACAGAACCACATCCTCAGAAAGAGTCTAAAGACAAATCACATTACAAAAACTGTTTATAGCGCAGTGATTAGGTGTCAAACTAGCTTAGAAACGAGCCCCATTAGGCAGTGCAAATATAACGGTCACAGCTGCTAACAGCACTCCCAAACATTTTAGCTTTCAACTCACGAAATGATTGTGGCAACATCTTGTGACCCTATTTATTACTAGTTTAATTATACAAAACTTACTAATAACCCTAATTAACTGAGGCATGGCAACACAAATGATCCACAATACCATTATTTATTTATACATGATGACTGATTAGTTAAGGTCTCTCACTTGAAGTTACATTGGAGTCCCAATCCCAAAACCAGGGAGGGAGGGAGGGTGGATGGTCGGTCGGTCGGTCGGTCGGTCGGTCGGTCGGTCGGTCGGTCGGT